TGGTATCATTCTGTATACCCTTTGTTTCAGATAAAAACATCCATGGGGTTAAATCAGAGATTCTGGGTGGCTTTTAGAGATCACTTTTCATGGAAAAATGGCCCTGACGACTTCCATCGAAAGGTTTGCAGTATGTGAGGTGGCGCCATTCTCTCGAAACCAAGTGTTCTCATGCAGTATGTGAGGTGGCGCCATCCGGTTTAAACCAAGTTTTCTCATTGAATTCAGCAAAATTAGCTGGCTCTGGTCTCTTTATCGAAAAGCAGTTACCGTAAGTGCAGCACCGTTAGCATTTTGGAAAAATCAGTTTCAATAAGTCCAGAGGCGCTCATTGCATCCCATACCGTTACTTTGGGAGAGTGCAGTGGTCTTTGATGCTTTTGTTTAGGGTTTACAGGGGACCAGTAACGACTTTTTACTTATTTACAAAGCCATCTAAATAAAAATGTTTCTCGTCGCTGAATAAGATATCATCGAAAGTTTCAAAAGTATTAAATAATGTATCCGCAAGAGCTACCCGAAGTGGATAATCCTCAACTTTCAAGGCCTGTACCACTTGAATTTTATACGGGTGAATGTTGTGAATAGCCGGTTTTGATAAATTCAAGGCCGCTGCAACTTTTAGAACTGAATCCGTGAATTATGCGTTACTGCGCCACGAAAACGCTCAAGGTTTTCAGGATTTCTTGCAGTCCTGGGGTGACCTGTAGGCTTTTATTCATGGTGGTGCCTTCTTCTTCAAATTAGTTAACCCAAAATATTATTAATCTCGCCGATAGTGCTTCATTTATGTCATGAAGGTGATAATTATTATTTCTTGGGTGTGAACCAACTAGACAAAATTATGCAAAATATGCCTGATTTCTGTGCTAAATGCAAATTGAAAAAGAGAGATGAAAATCCTATTGGCTGTAAGGGACCTTGTGGTTCCTGGTTTCATCCTGAGTGCTATCTTATGGATAATTATTTTAAAGTAATTCATAAGTTGAAAAATATTTATTTTATTTGTAATTTCTGCAAAACCAAAATTGAAATTGTCGACAAAAAAGAGAATGAAAACCTGAAAAGGAAAATCGCTTTTTATCGATTCGAACTTATTACCGAAAAAGTTACCAAAGCTATCTTTGACCAATTCCGAGATGAGATAACTCAAAAATTAGAATCCTGTTTTGAAGCTATTCAAGGAAAGATTAAAGACGCAATTTCTACAAATTCTTCAAATATAGCTGAACCTTCTTATGCCAATGTTGCTTCTCAATCCAAGTTTATTCTGCAGCCAAAAAACAATATTACTCAATCAGTTTCCACAACTAAATCCGAAATTTTACGTAATGTCAATCCGATAAATTCTAATATTGAGGTCTCGAATGTAACAGCATCACGTAATGGTGCATTAGTAATAAGTTGTAATAAAGAAGAAGACTCTTCCAAATTTCGAGAAATCATTATTAATAATCTCGGTGATAAATATAATGTCAAAACAATATCTTCTCTTCATCCAAGAATTAAGGTGGCAGAAAAATTTGACGATGCGACCTTATTGCACTACTTAAAGACTCAAAATAAATCATGTTTCAGTGATAATTCTACTTGTGAAAACCTCATAAGAATAATGCTAAATTATTTCAAGCTGTCTTGCAGGTTGATTCTAGTACGTATCAAAGGGCTATGAAATTAGGCAAACTGGCTGTTGGATTTGATTTTAACTGTCTAATATACTGTGCTATTGAACCTCGTGGATATTTTATTTGTTGAGGACTACGTCACTTAGCAACTCAATGCAATAAAAATGAGCCTACCTCTGCAAAGTGCCCTCTAAACCAATCATCAAAGGACTGTCGTTCTAAAAATATCCAATGTTGCAATTGCTTTTACCTTAAAACTAATCATAACTTAAATATACCAGTTGATCATGCAGCATGGGCTAAAGATTGTCATTATTCATTTTCTGGAGTTTAATGGTTACATAACAATAGTTTTATTCTCTGCACGCGTTGTTTTGATATTGCATAAATAGTCAAAAAAGCTTTTTGACAAACTTTTCCATTTTTCCCATCTAACAAATTGCTTGCAAGAACGAGCCGTCTTTTCGTTTTTCTATACGTAAGTCGTTTGTCTCTGAATGCTAGACACTTCTATCTAACCCTGTAGGTAAATGTCCTGCTCATTTTTAGTTGAAATTTCGTAAAGTGTTTAATAAAAACTTTATTTCTCTTTTCTTCATTACTTTTATCAAAGCATTTTAATGGACAACTAAAGAATTTCCAATAGCTTTGGCATAAACAACATATCCCTTGTTGTTTAGATACTTTTTCCTTGAGTCCTACAAGACTTTATTCGATTTCGTCGGTATTTTGTTGGATTCCTGTATTTCGTCCATTGTTAGATTACTTAAATATTCTTATTATTATTTGTAAACAGTCTGGTTCACATACTTTGATTACTATACGAGGCAAGAGAGAGGTCCGACACGCCCAACATAGGGCGCGGCCATTTTGAACCCTGTGACACAGTTTACAGCTAAAGAATCAGATCGCTCACTCTGCGTCGGCACTTTGGATCTCAATGTTTCAGTTTATACACTGTGAAACTCGGATAATACAATATATGACAACCGTCTATAATAAAACAGCAGTCTTCTGCGTATCCTGAATTTGTATCCCTAGATTGGATGTTATTTTGGAACTTTCAACTGGTCCGAGTGAGCTAACTGATTCTTTAGCAATAAACTGTGACTTCAAAAATAATCACTGACACTGACAGCAGCAAGCAAAATATCAGGTGCGTTTTAATCATCCGCTTCTGCTTCCGGAATTGTCGGTTTAGTCGTTTTAACCTGTCGGATTAAAACAAGAAAACCGACAATTCCGAAGCAGAAGCGGATGATTAAAACGCACCTATTAAAAATATTGCGCCAAGATGTAGGCAACACGTAATAAGGGTTCAAAATGGCGAAGTTTTCTATCTCCTTTTAAAAGGCACTCAGAAAGCTGCGCAGTGCGACCATTCTCCGTATAGTAAAATAAAATCAAAGTATGTGGTCTGGCTGCACTTACTCACAAAACTTATTTTTAGGTTATGTGTCAGTACACGCTTTTGCCAGTACACGCTTTTGCCAATAATATGAATATGTTCCCGTTTACTACAGAAACAAGCCAGCCAAGTGCTGTACGTTGAATTTTTTATGCAATAAACGTCTTGATTGGTACATCGAAATCAAACATATAAGCTATCTGTATTATCGTCAAAAAATGAAAATGCCCGAAAATGTCAGAATTTCTCGCTACACTACCTGATATTCATGTTACTTGATTTTATTGTTGCGTGGACACTGTTTTCAATTGTAACTTTCATAATATCATTATTTAGTTATTTATTTTGTTACTACTCTATTTAGCTTTTTACGAGCGATACGTTTATATTGTTACAATGGTTTTTTGGTATTACAATTTATTTTAACTTAACTTTTACAAGAACTATACAACTGATAACATTAACATGTATCATAAAACTGAAAATTGACGTAAGGATCATCCTTATATAGCTCGCTTGACTCTTCTCGAACCTTCTCGAACCTTATCGAACTGTCATCTAGAATATTCTTGACGGGTAATGACATTTCTAGACTATTCTATCTTCTTTTACTTGTCCTTTTACTTATGACAACCGCAGCACACTGTAGGGTGATGAGTAGCATTCCACTTCTTTTTTAATTCGTACGTTTCTTACAGCAGCCGCAGGCTACTGCAGGGTGCTGCGTAACAATATATTTATAACTATTACTGTTCTATATTTTTTCTTCTTCTATTTATGTTTTGTTAAAAAAAGTATAAATTTCAATCAATTAGTACAAACTTTTAATTTCTTTTTAAAATATGAAAAATGTTGTCCATGATCAGGTTTTATCAAAATATCTCAATTTCTGAAAAATACGAGTAAAATTAAAGAGGACCGCTACATATATGGTATACTGTTTTTTTTACGATTCATAATTAAAGCACCGCAACGAGGTTTAAATAAACATTTCTATTATTGTACTCATTTGTTTCATACGGAAATACGTTTCCCTAGCTTGACGGTGAATTTTTCATCCGATTTAAATTTTTAAATTAAATCCGGCCATTGTTACGTAAAACATAAAATCAAAATGGAATAGCGACCAAAAATTCAAAAAATATTTGCGTAGTGTTGGTTAAGAAATGTTAGTGAATAAAAGTGTTTACCAGTCATCATCATCATCATCAATCACTGGTAAATTTAAAAAAAAATCTACAATAGTTATTGTAGGTATATCTTTTTCTCTACAATAAATAGACAGAGATCAATTTTGTTGTAATAAGTTTGCTATAAATGTATGCTAATAAATGAACCTATAAACAAATTAATCTTTTTATTATAATTTTATTTTCCTTTTTTTTTTCCTGATAATTAGAGCTATAACAACAAACTTTCATTCTGATATTTAATTTTGGACGCGACTTGAAAAACTTGTTTTTAGCAAACTTGGAATGAATGCCCAAAAGAGAAAGAAACAACTTTATAATGAACAAGTAAGCCCGGATTAGGGCGTTATAATTTAAAAATACTATGCTTTTGATTATTTAGCTTTTTTTCCAAGACAGAGAACAAGGATTAGGGCGTTATAATTTGAAAATGAAAATACTATGCTTTTGATTATTTACCAAGACAGAGAACAAATACATTTTTGATATTATAGGAAGATCGATCATTGATATGATATTATCCGTAGCTTATTGCGCTTCGACTTTTCGCTACTTCACAATATTATATTTCAATATAGAGGTAAAATTTATATTTAAATCGATAGGTACTTTATTTTAAAAATAGCTCAGCGCCAGAATCTAATTTAAGAAAAAGAATATTCCAAGACAAACGTAATTTGATATTTAATATTTTCTATTCAATCTTAAAAAACAAAAATAATTAATACTTTATTGTGTACCTACACTGTATACGAGTATTTATAAATATTGTATGTTTTACGAATAACTGTCAAAAGGAGGTTGCATGTATTCTTCTAAAATCGCTTTGAGCTGTTGAAATTGCCTGGGATGTTCACGCATTTCAAATGTAGCGTTGATATTCAAATATCTCAGATTATTAGGTTCGCTCGTAAGCCAAGTAATGTTTCCGAGCAGCGGATCTGGTTCAGGAGTTGGGTTGCTAGAAAACAATAGAAAATTAAGTTTTATATGAACATTAATTCTTTTTTGGTTCGTGAAATTAATATACAGGGTGTCTGTAAAAGGTCTTTACAAAAACATACCACATATTCCTTAGATCAAAATAAGTCGATTTAAGTAAAATTACCTTAGTACAAAGTTGCTTCGTTTGGGCTCCAGAGGGCCTTGAAGTTACAATTTTTAAATCGTTTTTCCCATATAAATTTAAAACGGCATATGCGATTTTGCTGAAATTTGATATATTGGTAGAGTTTTATGTGGCAAAAAAATGGTAATAAAATTTTGTCCGATAATAATACATAGGCGTAGAACTTGATTTTTTAAATAATTGCACCTTTAAAAATTCTACGCCAATGGAAGAAAAGGAGTTTGAGTATGAAATTTAGATTGCGCAACTCATTTACTTTAAAAAAGGTAATCTTGATAAGACTCGATTACTCTCATGGTTTCCGCTAATTTTCTGTTTTAATAATTTAGAGTGTATAGGTTTCACAAAAATAATTATTTACAACATAATCAAAATAGAGATTTTACAAAAATTGTTCAAAATGTTCACCATTTTCACGCATACAAAGATTTATACGTCGAAGAAAATTAAAATGTATCATTTCCATAACTTCTTCATCACCTCTAAGATTGTTTATTGCATCTTGAATACGTTGCCAGAGTTGTTCCTCATTTTCTTCAGGTTCCCTGTAAACTGTGCATTTCAGATGTCCCCATAAAAAGTAATGCATCGCTGTTAGGTTTGGAAAATGTGGTGGCCAGTTTACAGGTGCGTCATTACCTCTGCCTATCCATTTGTGTGGATATTGTTAATTCAAGTGGTTTCTAACGTTTAAAGAAAAATGTGGCGGAGCTCCATCTTGCATAAACCACATATCTCTCCGAAGTTGGAGAGGTAAATCTTCTAACATTCTGGCAACGTATTTTGTAGAAAATCCAAATAATTTTCTCCAGTTAATCTTCGTGGAAGTATAACAGGACCAACAATGAAATTACCAATTATTCCAGCCCACACACTAATTTTGAATTCGTGCTGAAAATGGTTTACCTTTATTGCATGGGGATTTTCAACGGCATAAACATGTTCATTATGGGTATTAGTTATACCTCTTCTTGTAAAACCCGCTTCGTCCGTAAAGAGAACCTTCTTGACAAAGTTTGGATCTCTTTCTCTTTGCATATTAACAAATCGACAAAAACCCAAACGAATTTGAGGATCATGGACTAATAATTCTTGTACTGACTTCTTATGGTATGGATATAGCAATTGGTCTCCAAGCACTTTATGAACGACATCTTTACTTACTCCTAGTTCCCTTCCAATTCGTCTGGTACTTAATTCTGGATCTTCTTCAACACGTTCTAAAATGTCTTCCTCAACTTCAGGAATCCTTACAAAACGTTCTCTTCCATTATCAACAGTGTTGAGAGCAAAGGAACCGGTCTTCCGAAGACGTCTCTCAACAGCAGCAAAAGTTGGGTGGCTAGGTACACGACGATTTGGAAACCTTTCAGAGTACACCCTGACACTCTCTCGAGCATTTCCTTCACAAAATCCTAATGTCAGTAACATATCGGTATATTCTGCATTGGTATATTGTACAGCCATATTAATAAACCACGCATTTGTTTGTTTTAATTATTGAGTCAGATAGAACACTTTCAATCGTTAACAAGAGATTAGGTGTTAAAACTTAACAATATTTTTATTTAGATGAAACTATGGAAACCAACAATAAATGTTTTTGTATACGTATTACAGGAAAATAATTAATATTCCTCAAAAAATCGTACATGGCAAGAATCGAGTATTTTTGTTAAAAGTCTCGATTACAGGTGTTGAAGAAGATATGAAAAAAGTATATTTTTATGTTTTTCATCGTATAAAATTTTGTCCGATAATAATACATAGGCGTAGAACTTGATTTTTTAAATAATTGCACCTTTAAAAATTCTACGCCAATGGCAAAAAAGGGGTTTGAGTATGAAATTTGGATTGGGTATTCATTTACTACAAAAAAATACCCTTGATAACACTCGATTTACTCTCATGGTTTTGACAAAGTTTGTATTTTAATAATTATTGTTTATGTTCTAAAATTACTAAAATGCAAATTTCGTCAAAACCATGAGAGTAATCGAGTCTTATCAAGAGTACCTTTTTTAAATTAAATGAGTTGCGCAATCTAAATTTCATACTCAAACTCCTTCTCTTCCATTGGCGTAGAATTTTTAAAGGTGCAATTATTTAAAAAATCAAATTCTACGCCTATGTATTATTATCGGATGAAATTTTAATACCATTTTTTTTGCGACATAAAACTCTACCAATATACCAAATTTTAGCAAAATCTCATATGCCGTTTTAAATTTATATGGGAAAAACGATTTAAAAATTGTAACTTCAAGGCCCTCTGGAGCCCAAACGAAGCAACTTTGTACTGAGGTAATTTTACTTAAATTGACTTATTTTGGTCTAAGGAATATGTAGTATGTTTTTGTAAAGACCTTTTACAGACACCCTGTATATTATTAATGGGAGTGTAGAAAAACTATGGAACCCCGTTCTGTTTGTCCATTAAGAGCTTAAAATAAAGCAAAAATACTTAAAATAGAAGTAGCCATGGAAAGTATGTCTTGTAAGAATAAATTGTTAAAGGAAATAAATATGAGAAATTTATAAAGAATATTGGCATGGTTGCTGTTTGCTTATTGCATTTCAACAGGTTATGGATGCGGTTGAAATGCAATAACTAAGCATACTTTACGGAAATTGTTTAATCAAATTTTTATATAACAGTGCAATATCAAAAAGAAAAAATAACAAAGTCAAAAATTACAATTTTAGAGAAATCAAAATCATTTTGAAGAGGTTGAGTGGTGTGTACACACTGGGTAATAAGAAATGAATCGAGAGTATTTAAAGTGTGTAAATTGAGTTTTATTAATAAAACTCTGTAAAAATTAGTCTAAGCGCTTTCAGCCTATTAGACCATCATCAGAGACTCTACAAAAGAGAAAAAAAAAACGGAGCTGTAACAATATAATCAACTCATAATATTACTAAACATTGAATAAAAAACCTTGAACACTTACTCGTCAAAAACTGTAGAAGTAGCATGAAAATTTAACTAAATTAAAAAGGACTGCAACAAACCGGTCCCTGGTCTCTACCATATCTTGAAGCTTGAATAATATAAAATAAAAGAACCACTCCCAAAATGTGGTTAAATTTTAAGAAATGACGTGGGGGTTCATCCCATCAAGTTAAACTGTATACTCCCAACCATTCAAAGGCAGAGAAATTGCTGTTCTTCAACATGAAGCCAGCTGAATTTTTCAAGTTGCTACCGTGAGGCGGAGGCAAGTTAGGGCACAAAAAATCGTAGTAAGTACAAGAAATTTTGGAGAACGTGACCATCTTGACAGTTTCCAAAAAAGAACTGATTGACAATTGACATTTAACGATGAAGTTGTCAGGCCAATTACCAACTTGAGAAATTGAATTGGATTTCGTGAAAAATTCTCAGTTAATATTGAAAATAATAAAAGTGGGTTGGTACCACAGAACTAGCAAGATTAAGTTATGGCGGGACTTTTTTGTAGAGTCTCTGATGATGGCCTAATAGACTGAAATTTTTACAGAGTTTTATTAATAACATTTGTTTTAGGTAAATAAGTATATAATAGCTGATAAAGTTTGTTTTTAGTATTTTTTCTTCAGTACCATTTAATGGAATACTCTTTTATCAATGACTGTTTTGGTTTTATTAAGTTATAAAAGTTTTAATTTCAAATTATTATTTCTCACGTAAATCTATATTTTATTTCTTTTATGTTTTAACTCATTGTACATATTTTAAAATAGGTCTGTCTATTAAAAAATCAGTTTAACGGTCAGTTCATATAATAACATAAAATTTCATGTAAATTTCTGGCAATGTCTTAGCCTCTCCGCCTTATGATTTTCTCTGAGGTTTACTCATAGGCTCATGATCAATAAAAAAGTTGCTCAAAAATTGGCAAACCAAAATAAACAGATTGTTCGTTAACCTAAACCTAATTAGGGTAAGTTAAGGATGAATTTCTTAGATTCACTAAGTTTAATTAAATTCATTGCAATTTAAATTTAAATAAAATAACAAATAAATACTTACAAATATTTAACAAAATTAGTCCACATTTTTACATATCTATGTAACATTAACTGATCTTCTTTGGGATACTGATTTAGATCACTATTGATAGTGTCGTCCCACATGTAATTGCAATCTTCAGCATGTCCTACTTTCTCAACATCTGTAAAAATAATAAAAAAAATTATATTTGGTAGTATGTTTATGTCCAAGATATTTAAGTAGTGGGTGTCTTATTTATTATGCTAAACAAGTTTATTTACAGAATAGTAGCAACAACTATTAAAGGTTATACCCATGTAGGTTTTACTTTCATCAAGTTAATTTCATCTAATGTTAAATATTATTTACTTGTACAAGGTACAAAGGTGACAGAGTGGGTGTTATGAACTAACATGAGGTAAAACACAATAAGCCAATAGGCTTCAGTGCTATTGGGAGACATAGTCAGACGAGCCCAGCGAAAAAAAATTAGTTATTGAAATATACCGTAGACAAGAATATTTCCAAAACAGCCAGGAGGAAAATAGTAACAGATACGCAATAATTGTTGTCATTCATAATTTAGGTAAATCTAGTTGAGGTTAGATTTTTCATCCGTACATTTCAATCGTTACTTCACAGAACGACTTTCATGCGACCCGTCCCTATATAGTCAATGAAACCAGAATTACCCTGGATTATATTGGATTCTGACTATTCTGTGATTTTGGGATCATTTGCGATGTTGGATTAGTAAATTGCATCTAATTTCTGCACAATTTTAGCATACAAGGTGGCCAGACAAGAAGCGTTATTCAAATTCAGGGATTTATTAGGAAATACAAAAAATTTCCTTTAAATATTAAATTTCCATCACCTGGGGACCATATAGATATTTGTTAAATGTTAATACATTTTTTTTAATACTAACAACACTGTTTTTTCAGTGTAATTATTATCAAATATAGATATAATAGTATATTACATAAATAGTGAAGACAGCGATATATGTCGCATGAGTGGGCAAACTTAACAAGCGCATAAAATATACTTTATAACGAGTTGTTTACAATATTTTTCATGGGGGGAAAATTATTAATATTATTTTGAATTTAACAAAACACGCCTTCTTAAATACATTAAATGTAAAATGTGTTGCCTAACTTCTAGTAGTAGTAGAAGAGATTTGTTTATATTATTTTAATTAGGAAAATTAATTCTAAATTTGTGATTCTCACCTTATCGATTCCAAGCTTCGCATGGGCAAACTTGTACCAAAACATACACTAGATATAAATTGATATGAAACGAAAGACCGAAAGGTAATAAAAAATAAAAATTGAGACATTAAATGTTCAAGTTGGCGTAGTATTGGCGTTGCTTAGGCTATATGTAGTTGTATGTAGCCACGTCAGGTATACCACAAGGATTTCACTTAGGACCTCTATTGTTAATCATATTTATCAAAGATCTTTCAGTTATTTTGAAATGTTTACATCTTTTTTTTTTCTGACGGCTTAAAACTATATAGTAAAATTTTGAAACCTGAGATGACTACAATTTGCAGCTCTTTTTGGATATCCTCAACCATTGGTGTCTGGATATTTCTTTACAAATAAATATTTCCATAGGTAAAGTTGTTTCCTTTTTTCGTCAAAATTATCCTTATTTATTTGATTACTCTAACAATAATGAGACTCTTGAAAGGTGTTATAAATTTAAAGATCTCGGTGTTATATTTGAATTTAAATTTACTTTTAGTGAGCATATTTAAAATATAACTGCCGCTGCGTCTAAGTTTCAAGTGCCACCTTTTTTTTTTAACTACCCTGTATAAATATTAAAAAAATCTTACCAGCTGGAAGTGTTGGTAAGTATGCCATTTGCTCTCCCAAATTTCCTTTATACGCAAACTGATAAAAATAATATGGAGCATCTGTACAACTTAGTTCTACTTGCTTGGTTATGCCTGTTGTAAAGCAATTGTCACTTATATACTGTAAAAAATAAATAACAAAATAAATAAATCATGAAACAAAATGTTTTTGTTTCAGTATGCTTGCTAAAAAATATAGGAACCAAATTCCTGACTGTCTAAGTTGAATTTTTCATGAGTAAATATGCGTTAATATGCTTAAGAAGTTTTAAATCTTACCTTTATGTATCCACCATAGTCATTTTCAAATGAGCTATTACCGACATATAATTGTTTGTATAACAATCCAACGCCCTGTTTGTCCTTGGGGGTAATATTGACTCCGTATGATATCAGTAGAGACGGATTGATATCAATTTCTTTGAGCCTGGTTTCATTTTTATATAAAGCTAAAATATATCAATAAAATTATGAAATATTAATAGATTAATCAGTGACTGTAACTACTTACTAAATACAATTCCTTCTTCGGAATTAAATCCAATTAAAACTGGAATTTTTTTATACTTCTTCTCTACAAAAGCTTGGTAACCATGTGAAGAAAATAAACCTTCTTTTTCTACAGCAACTGCGCCAGATATTCCTGTCTAAAAAACAAAATAAAGCTAGTATAAAAGTAAAATAAAGTTTTTAAAATAATTCCTAATGATCATTAGTCTTTGGGATACAAGGAGTTAAAAATCAAAATCAAAAACTTTTTAGTCAGTGAGATCCGGTACCGTTAATTAAAAAAGCATTAAAAATATACTACTAAACTTTAAAATAATTTTATCTTTAAGTCTTCAGGGTCTAACCACTTTTTTAAAAATGTGTTAACATATTACTATCCGGTTTATAATCACCGCACAAAAATTATCGCATCACCAATGCTTTTAAATATTTTGGCTAAAGCAAATTTATTTTTAAAATTTTCTAAATATTCCCTGATTGGGCATTCGTTACTGATAAACTCGAGTCAAAAAACTGGTCGTTTCTTCTTTTGTTAGGTTCTTGTTTACTTTTTTTTCGGGAGAATGCGGATAGGCATACATTCCACTTTGCAATTATGCTGTTCATTTCTGTTTTCTGCTTTGATATTAAGGATAAAGGTGTATACTATGGCTGGTCCATAACGTTTAACTCGCAATCTGATAGATGAAGAGGCCGTCAGAGTAATTGCGCTGATTGAAGATAGGCGAAGTCAAAGGTACGTGACGGATTTATTGGGTGTACAACAGAGTACCATTTCAAGAGTTGTTCAAAGACATAGGGAGACTGGATGGTACTCTAGAAGAGAGGGTCAAGGTTGTCCTAGAGTTACGATAGCTTTACTTGATCGTTTTTTACGACTTTCAGCCCTAAGAACACGACACTGCACTGCTCGAATGCTCCAGAAGGACCTTTATCTGCCGAAATGTTCAGATTTGCCGTACGTACGTACGTAATCGTCTTCGAGAGCATGATATGCGTGCAAGGGTTCCAGCCAATGGCACGCGTCTTATCAGAGAACATCGAGTTTGCCGTTTACAATTTGCTAGAGACCATGCTGGATAGGGTGTAAAAGAATGGTCAAATATCCTCTTTACAGACGAGTCCAGATTTAGTTGTTCTCTTCAGACAGACGTATGCCAGTATACCGAAGACCAGGCGAACGACATTACCAATGCAAATTTCGCGAAAGGGAAAGTTTTGGAGGTGGGTCAGTAATTGTATGGGGAGGAATATCTTTTCATGGGCGAACGGAGTAAGTAGCTGTTAATGGTGGTAGGATGACGGCTGACCGATACATAAGGGATATTCTAGAGCCTCATGTGGTCCCCTACGGCCCTTTTATTGGCGAAAATTTTGTGCTAATGCACGATAACGCCAGCCCGCACGCTGCCGAGTTAGTGCGGGAATACCTTGAGGAGGCGAATATTGCTACATTGAATTGGCCAGCTCGCAGCCCAGACCTCAATCCAAAAGAGCACGTATGGGACCACTTAGGTTGGGCGTTCCAGTACCGTCAAGCTCCATTCAGAACCCTTAATGAGCTTCAACATGCAATAAACGAAATATGGAACAACATGGAGCAAGAATACATACATAAGTTAATTGAAAGCTTACCAAGGCGAATGGAGGCTGTGATAAGGCAAGAGGAAGCAATACAAGGTACTAAGAAAATTGTATTTTTTAAAAAATTTCACATTTTTCGAAGAATTTTATTTTTGTAACGAAGGCAATATAAATTCTCTTATGTCCGTTTTTGGTATTCTTTATTTATCCTGTACATATTGATTTAAAATGAGAAATTTTATTTATGATTTATGTAATTACAAAGGTTCAATATAAATTATACCAAAAAAAAAAAATTTTAAAAAGTGATGCGATAATTTTTGTGCGGTGTTATAATGAATACCTCCTTTTAGCAAGGATTTATTTCTCATGTTTGGAAGCTAGCTTTAATTTAGCTAATTTTTAAAAAAGGCCATAAACTTAATTCCAATAACTACCACTCTGATAGCCTGGTGCCTATTTCATGCAAAGTAATGGATCCCTAAATTCTTTTCCATGACAATATTATTCCTATGTTAGAAATAGGGTGTTAATATACTGCTACATAAAAGATCTATTGTACCTAATTTTGTCACTAATGCAGCAGGGAAATGTATCGATGCCTATAAAAACTGTTCCAATCCTATCTTCTCAAGGAAATAATGGATTTTGAGTGGCTTTAAGTTATGATAGTGCCCTTGGATTCTGGAGTGCTACATATTCAGTCAAAATATTAATGGAAGTTTCTTCCTCCTTCTCACAGGACCTGAACTTACTATCTTCTGCTTCTCTTAGTTTACTAAGGTATCCTTTAAGTCGGCCATACTCAATAACGACCCCTGTTATAATCCTTGGCGTCCTTTCATCTTTTTTGGTTATATTCTGAAGTATCTTAGGCTATCTAAGCCCCAATTACTTTCAGTTATTAATTCTTCTACTGCCCAATTTTTTTAAAATCTCTCCTAATATTGTATTACTGCCGATACCGCAGAACGACTTAAGTTCCACAAAGAATGTTTGAACCCTTTTCCATGTGAGACTATCTTTATTATCGTTACCCTATACCTCGTTATATCTCGACATCCAAATGAAAGTTACTGTGTTTTCTAGGCCTGGATCATTCCATGCGTTTAGCTCATGCATTCTTCTATTTATTCTACGGCCTAAGTGGGCTACGAGTTTTACGCACTTAGTCACCCACTCAAGCCGTAGCTAGGGCCTCACAGCTGGGGAAAATGTATCGTCTAAAATGTACTATTGTAAACTGTACAACAATTATACTCGTACTCGACCGGTTTTATTTATAATATGTTTTTAGTTTAAAAAAGTAATTCATCAGCCCCATATTTTCTGTTTTTTTTTTGAAATTAGTTAATCGTAATACCTACTGCTAATATGTCATTGGCATCAGCATTTTGCAACACCGTTAGTAGTTCTGATGTACTATTTGATGAAAAACTGTTATTAACTAGTTTTCCAAGGTTAAATGCTGCACTATCTGGATCACTTTGTTTGAGTATTCCAGAAATAGGTGTTCCACTTTGCATTATCGCTGCATGAAATAAGTCTAAAATCATATTTAAATAATCAGCAATAATTATTTTTTATTAAAGTCACTTACTTTCGTCGGGCCTCTGACTTAAAATATGATAACCCACTGCTACTGAACCAGCACTTTCTCCTACTATAACAACTTGATTTGGGTTTCCTCCAAATAATTCAATATTTTTATTTACCCATTCTATTGCTAATCTTTGGTCTTTTAAACCAAGATTAAGAGGAATAATACCGTCATCAGTTCCCACAAAACCTAAAAGAGTTAACATTTTACATGTTGCTTTTTATTCTAAACTTCAGAAAATATAAGAAACTAGGAAATGATTGGAAAGTAATGAAATAAATGGATAAAACAAACTAAAGACGTAAACTCCTATATGCTAAATAGAAGAAAAAGAAGAAAAGAGAAGAATAGAGAAGAAAAGAGTAGAAAAGGGAAGAAAACATAAAAAAAGAAGAAAAAAGATATTTTGAGGTACAAATTTATAAAAGGTACAATTGTGAGTATGTCATAATATAAACGAATGGTCTGCAGTGCTATCGGAAACAAGTTTAATATGGAAATAAAAAAATTAATAACCTGGTTCCTGAGTAATTTGGGGTATTTGAAGAGGATTTTATACTCCGAAAAGTAAGCTGTAACAAAAATTGTACCTACTTACTATCTTTTAACTATATATATATATATATAATTATAATGTATTTAATTAAATTACTTACCAAATGGACCTAAACGATAATCAAAAGTAACAACTACAACTCCATGATCCATAACATATTTTGGTCCGCTATAGTCGTAAATTCCAGATTCTGCTGTAAAACCTCCACCATGAATCCAAAGTAAAACAGGAAGTAGGCTGTCTTTATTACCAGGTATCTGAAATAATAAATAAAAATATAAAACATAATAAATTATACACTATTTTTGTTGAAAAATGTCACAATTATTTATATCCTGCTATTTGTTACAATATTTTATTGAATTATATTCAAGTCATTATTAATTTTATTTACGAGCAGTCATGCTATTGGTTAAAATAAATAATATTCGCATTTCTGTAAACAGGGTGAGTCATAACTAGTTGGTACATACAGTAAACGCTGATTAATTGGACCAAAATATAACGATTTCACCAAATTTATTAAAATGTTAATTTCAAACCTTTAAACTTAAATTGTGAAATATTTGCAAAATGTTATTTAACACGTGTGTTCGTTAAACCACCAATATGACAAATTTATAATTTTCAATCTGGTCACCATTGACGTCAAATACCCTAAAGGCGTTCTGAAAAACTAACGGACGTCAACTATACAGAACAAAAACATGGCACTAACAGTCCAATTATGGAATCATTACAATATTTATAACTGAAAAGATCATTGGTGTGTTTTTCTGATTTCTGTTTTTTTGTTATACATTTTAAGGGGCACTTTTTATATACAGAGATAGGTAAACACAAGATAAGACTATGGAAGACATATTTTATGATTGCTCAAAGCTTATCTGTCAGAATATTAGTATTCATGGCATCTTTGGCGACGTCGTCAACTAAATTAAATTTACAATCTGGCTAAAGAACTTGCAAGAGGCCTTACCAGTATAAAAGAATGCGCAATCGGACTAGTGAAGCCAAAGTTAAGTGGAGGCAAGCCACCCTCCATCACTTTACAGAGGAGTTATTCAATAAAGTATGCAATTAACTTTACCTAGAAGCATATCAAATAGAAAAGGGAAATTTACCTAACTTAAAGTCACTCCAAATGCTACACTTTGTTGAGCAGATAGGACTGAAAGGGTTCTTATGGGCATTGATACATTTACTTGCTGCATTAGTGACAGAAGTGGGAACATTAGATATTTTAGTTCGCAGTGTATTAACACTCCACGCTCAACATAACAACATAATATGCAATTAACTTATTTGTCTAAATGTTAGAGTACAATGTTAATTGACAGCAAATAAAACATAATCTAACTAAATATATTTGAATTCGCTATTTGAGAAGAAAATTAAACAACGATATTCTGAATACTTACTATAGGTGTGTACACATTTATATACAAACAATCTTCACTTTTTTCAAGATATTCATGTCTTGAATTTGCTTGTATACAAATTTTAGTATTTCTTGTTGTATTCAAGATGCCTTTCCATGGTTCAGGTTCTTGAGGTAGCTAAAATCAACAACAGTAATATAAATATGTAATAATAATAAAAATGTACAATTTAAAATACATTTTGATCTATGTATAACAGTTTTGAAACAAGGTATATAAACAATATTTTTACTAGTACATACATCTTTGCCAAAGGGAGAAAGTTAATTTTTTTCCTTGTACCCAAGAATTACATTTTAAGTATTGTTGGAATTATTTTTGCCATCTTTTTATTTACTTGATATTTCCTCCTATTAAATTTCCCTCCCTATCCTTGATGTAAATATTTTTTGTATATCTTTTACATTTTTATAGAAGTGTTTTCAAATATTTTATGTTAAAACTTAATATGTTTACAAATTAATTATTAAGCTGTCGCCATTATATATCATTAACCTGATATGAAAATTTGATTTTGAAATAAGTAAAAGCGAATATTATTTTCACAGTCTGACACAACTTTAACCCTGTTCATTATCTTTTTTAGTACGTTAAATTTTGACAAAAAAATTGTTGCTTGAGCAAATGTTGACCCAGATATTATTTAAATTTATATATTTGTTATAACTAATTTTAATAATAAGTATATATAACATATTGTTTTTTTTCTAGGTAAGTGAAAGAATTGATTTATCTTGAAAATGAAAATGGTAAGTTTTTTGTTTCAAATTAATATATGGATTGCTTTATTAATTGAGTAATTTGTTAATATAGAATAAGTCATATCTTATGTGGTCTATTTATCTAATTTAATTCAGTTGCAAAAAGGTCAACTTATACAATATAGAAGTCACACATAAATGCAAATGACGAGATCTTTCCGATAATAAAAAGCTGCAACATTTCTTCATTGTTAAAGATTGTGATTTTAATGAAATGAAAGTAGAAAATGTATTGTATAAGAACTAATATCGCATAAATTTTATAAACATTTATTTAATTTATTATTGCAACTAACACAAGAATAAAACTTATGTGATAAAGTAAAATGAACAAAGACACTTTATTTTAAAGAAATTTATTTTACATAAATTCATAACAATGAACGTCAAACAATAGTGTACAATTTGAGCTGTTAGCGGTTATATCTCAGAACATTTTGGAGAATTTTTTGAAAATATGCACCTTCCTATTATATCATTAATGTCATTTCCCTCCCTTTTGGCAATTTAACCAATTGAATTTAAAAAAGGAAAGTAACATCAGTAAAAAATTAATTTAATGGCGAATCCAGCAATATGATTGTTTATTGCTTTACTTCTGATTTAAGCGCCCTCTATCGGGATAAAAAACATATTTCAAAGTGCGATACTTTATTTGAAAGCTAATTTTAACAGTAATTTAATGCGTAGCATAAATTTGTTTTCTGTTAAAGTTTTTTTTTGTAATTTTCTTGTATTTCTGCAATTTTTTTCTTTTGGTAACGCCTTTTCTTATTTCTGTACATTTTTCTAACACCTTTTTTTGTTCTATATATTTTTTCCGTTTGTAGATTCACCTGTTTGTAGGTATTTTTCACTCAGTTTGTGTTTTTTTATTTCTTCACCACATTCGTTATCTAACCATTCTTTTAATTTCTGTTTTTCTTTTTCTTAGTTATAGTTTTCTCAGTTGATGATTTTATGGCATTTTCTGTTATTCCATTTCTTCTCTACTATGCTCGCCATGTTTGAAACTGGTTTATTGTCTAGACTTCTTTCTATATCTAATCTATATCTCCTTGATATCTGGTTTACTTGTAATTCTTCCATGTTATATTTTGTGTTCATATTTCTATAGATGTTTGATTTATCTTTTTCTGTTCTGTTAGAAAGTGATCGTAATTTGCTTCCGCCCCTCTTCATGATTTTTTTCGTTCCTCAATGAGAAATTGGTCTATTTGATTTGTCTTTGTGGTACCTGGTATGATCCATGTTCCTGTGTGAATATCTTTCCTTTTGAAATGTGTGCTCATCATTTTCATATCTTTTTCTATGGCTAAATTTATTAGTTTGTTAATGCTCATATTGTGCTTACCTTCACCTCCCGTTATATTTTTCTTTTTTACCTACTTTTGCGTTCATATAATCTCTCTAGTTCTTCATAGAATTCATCTTTTGTTTCTTCATCTTTTTTTTCTGTTGGCAGTTAATTATTGTTATATTTTGTGTTTTATAATATTTTTCTCTTACGGCTTTAAAATTTACTACTGACGCCTTTATATTTCTGTGTACTAAAAAACATGTTCCAAATCTTCGGCTTTTATTTCCACTTGTGCACATTACATAATCTTGTATCTCCGTTGTATTGTTTCCGGATAGATGAGTTTCTTGTATAGCTCTTTTATAATAATTTGATAACTATGTGGATGACACCGTAGTTTTTCATCGTTGGTATACCCAATGAGAGCCCTAATCCAAATGCAATGAAAGGCATAAATAAGAGCTTCGCATATTGCCGTGGCTCTACGGTATAAATGGAAATTTCTATTTTCATACATCATATTACTCGCTAGCAAAGTTATTTCACGGTGATGAAGTTATTCCAGTAAAAAAATACAAAAATTTTTAAATTGAATTTTCTAATTTTTTGCTTGTTCGGGAACGTATTTGATTCTGAAATTAACTAACCTGAAATCTATTCGGTCCTACAGGAGGGGCAGCATAGGGAATCTCTTGAAAAGCGTAATAATCGTTTCCATTCTCACTTTTTCGTATAATTCCTTGGATTTTGCCCTTTTCCAATTGAACTATTGTACCGTCAGGTTCGGCTAAAACTGATATCAAATAAGATAGGATGGTCGTCACGACCAATTTAAATTTCATTTTGTTCAAATAAGATATTTAGATTAAAATTGTATTACTTATATACTTCATTTAATATCTCAAGTAGCTACCTACCTATCTGCTTTATATGATTTTAAAAATATAATAGGGAAATTCAATAAAAATTTAAATATCTCCAATCTAATTAATAAATTTAATCTCAAAACAGATATCATTATAGATAGCACAACTAATATCAAACTCTACATGTATTGTTTTCCAGTATCTATTTAATGTATCGATTTTTTTTATATTTATTTATTTGTCTAAAGTACAAGGCAATAAATAATAAAAATATAGTCATTTGCATATCACCTAAAAATAATTGAAATCATGTAAATTAACTAGTGTAAAAGACACAATTTGCTAATATTTCGAGTTCTAATAGATTTATAAAAAATATTGTATTCGTAATGTTTTTGACATTTTGTTAGTACCTATTACTATTTTAAGTAGTTTTAAATTAACTGTCTACCAGTGATTAACCAAAAATAGGGAGTATAGTTAGAGGTAAAGATATTCTTTTTCTTTTGGCACAACAAAGGGACTCGTATAAAAACAAGTTCAACAGTAACTTAGGGACGGACCTAATAAGTTGATACGCTTTAAAAAGGAAATATGAGTATTTAAAAGTTATCACATTATTCGCATAATTTCCTTCTTCGATTATTTTTTATTAGGTTTAAAGGGTTTAGAGTACAAATACATAATTTTTTAAAAACACTAATTGCTTTGGTAATATGTGATTTTGAAACAACTTCTTCGTATTAGATATTCCCTTAGATGCATCATCAAAATCAAATATGATTTCTTTAATTTTTTCATAATTATCTGCGTAAAAAAGGCAGCTTTAAGCCAGGTACCCCACCGAGTAATCACAGGTTTCGGTGGCATCTATAATTCAGGAAATTTTGCTTTGTACAATTGAGTTCTTAGAGGAGCTTTAAGAAATATTTTTTTTACATTACTAATAAATCATTTATTAAAGGAAAGTTAGACTTAATTTCTTCTGCAACTCTGTTAAGGCCATGAGCGGAGAGTTTTGTGCGGCTTTTACCATGTACGGGGCAGCATCGGATAACAGCAATAAACATTTTTCTGTTGAAACGGCTTCCGGAAGAAACAAGGAAGACAATTCTGTCTGGATAAAACGAGTTATTGTCAAGTTATTTGTTTTATCTAATTGCTTTGAAGCGATTAGATATGGACCAATTTGAATTTCTTCGCGTAATGAACCTATCATTAAATGGACTATATATCGACCACAAGAGTCTGTTGTTTCATCCACAATAATGTAGAAATGGTTTCTAACGATAATCTCACGAATTTTTTCACGAGTCTCAATGTACAAACTGTCAACACCACGTTTGCGTAATATACTTTGCTCTGGAATATTAAATTTACAGTATTTTTGCAAAAATGATTGGAGATTTGGATTATTTAATCGTATTAAAGGGATATTCGAAGTCACTAAAGCTTTGCATAAATCTTCATTAAAAATAGCTTGTTCACTTCTAGACGATCCAGATTCTAAATATTGTTTCAAGGGAAGTTGACTTTGTCTGCGAGTGTCTTTAGATTTCTGCTTTGCTATATGTGAGGGTGTTTTACATGGAATCTAAAATAAATTCCTGTAGATGTTGAAGTTTTAATTAAATTAAATAAATGCGTACGTTGTAAAGTTGCCCTATTTTTTTTTAACCCTTTCACTGCCTCGCCAATCTGTAAGTTATACGGCGGTGCCCACATGATATTTTTAATGTTTAAATAAAATATTATTATCACGTTATTTATTTATGTATTTATATTTACCTATATGTATCAAACTGTCAAAATTGACAAGAACACGCCAGGCGTGTTCGGGGCACATAGGCACACTATTCGGTTAAATATGCCCTGAACACTCCTAGCTTGTCTTTCCAGTAATTGTTAGTTGAGATAAAAGACAATTGGAAATAAAAGTATATAATCAAAAAAAAAATATTTATTAACACAAAATACATTCATTTACTAAAATAAAAATAAAAGAAAAGAAAACAGGAAACAAGGAACTAAAATTCTTTGGTATAGTAAATAAAAGAAAAGAAAACAGGAAACAAGGAACTAAAATTCTTTGGTATAGTAAATAAAAGAAAAGAAAACAGGAAACAAGGAACTAACATTCTTTGGTAGAGTAAATATAGAAAATTATAGTCTCTCATGAAAAAGTCTATAACAGGAATCCAAACACAAACCCGGTTCAGTTGGACACTGCGGACAGAACGTTATTGTTGCTTTTCTAACGTTTCTATTATCCCAACAATATTTACACCGACGTCTTTTGGTTTTCCCATCTTGGCCTCTTTCACAATTTTGGGGATAATGCTGACGTAATTGGCGTTCATTTTGTGGTTCCGGTGGCGATGACAATAATTTTTCCAAGACAACCAACCGAAAATCATATAAATTCATTTTCCTGCTACCGTATTTATTGTACAAATGATAAGAATTTATGAACATCATTTGGAATATATGTAATCCTAATTTTTTGTACCATCGTAGGGTTTTATGGAGGCAGGCATAATAGGACATCATTTGGTCACCATTGTCGATGCCCCCCATAAATTTATTATATTCAGCGATGGTTTGAGGTTTAAACTTCCTTTGTTGTTTTTTGGAAACAGTTTCTACCATTTCTTCAGAATGTTCTGTAGAGATTGTCAAAACTTCTTTATTGTCCATCCATTTACTAACGCAAAGTCCTTGATTTGAATATAAGCAATATGTTTCTCCCTTTCTAAGTTTTTTTGATATCACTTCTGTTGGATTTCCAATTCGTTTTGGTCTTAGGGTACCAGTAATATAGGTTTTCTCTGCTAATAATCGTTCTGATAACTCTACACTATTATAGAAATTATCCATGTAGACAGAGTGGCCTATACCTTTTTTTCCTTCCAATAATGTATGGACAACTTTTTGCACATGATTTTTCCCGCCAACAGTTGCATCTGAAGATCCCCCGTAAACGTGAATCTTCTGCGTCATTCCTTTCGGTTCTGCTAAACAATAAAGTTTTATACCATATTTATGACGCTTTCCTTTCATATATTGCCGAAATGAAAGGCGACCACTCCATTGCACCATAGATTCGTCAATAGCTAGTTCCTTTTGTGGGTAATAAATTTGGGCCATTTTTGAATTAAAAAATGTAACTAGAGGTGTTATTTTAGACAGTTGATTTCCGTCAACCGAGTTGTCATTAAACTGCAAAGCCCGTAAGATCAACAAAAATCGATTCCTGCTCATAAACTTTGCAAAAGAAGGGAAATTGAAAAGGTAATGGGTTCTCCAATAATCGTTGATCCTATTAATTTTTATAGTCCCCATATGAAAAAAGAGGCCTAAAAACGTTCTAAACTCTTCCTTAGTAACATCTTTCCATCGAGTTATTCTACTCTGATCACTCGTACTATTGACTAGTATTTCAACTGCATAACTGTTAGTATTTTCAACGACTAATTGAAAAAAATGATCGTCGAATAATAAATTAAAATAATCAAATGGTTCCCTAGCATCTAACCCTGCTTTCAACCCAGTATTTCCTCTAAATGGTATTTGAGTTACCTGTGGGCGTTCTGGTAACCATAGCGGAATAGCAGGCGCAGCAGCAGTTGTTTGAACAGCAGTCAGAATATTACTATCATCCCAACCTTCTGAATCACTGACAACTTCATTTTCTATATCAAAATCTTCACCCGATTCATCAAATTCGTTAGATGAGTTTTCCAACATCTTCAAAAGTTGTTCATCACTACAAGGTTTCTGTTTATCTAACCTCACTTTTTTTCTAGACGTTGATGGCTGATTTTCATCCCGTTCCATCTTTGAATTATACCTAAAACACTACAATGTAGTATTCAGATATTATTTGCAACTATTTTCATTTATATATGCCGAAAACTTACCTCAATCTACTCAAAATATCACTTTATAGATGAACACTACAGTACGCAGACAAGTATCTACTACTATCGCTCAAAGACAACTAACCTCAAAACCACCACATGGTTATAATATTTTATGCTATTTTAGATATGCCCCCAATCGCCCAGTATCGTACTACATGTGCCTAAAACGTGAAACTCAATATTAGCTAAATACCTTCGGAACACACCAGGTGTGTCCGGGGCACCTTGTAGATATCTTACTGAACACGCCAGGCGTGTTCTGGGCAGTGAAACGGTTAAACTGTGAGTTGAAATAATATTTTACTGTCGTTTGATTTACCATTGTGAAAGGTCAAAATAAAATATAAAATAAAAAAGTACTTACAATTTTAGAAAATGTTTTACAAAACACCTGATCATCACCTTCTACAACAAAATCTGAATAAGATTTTACCCAAGACTCAATTAATTTTACAATTTTTCTCACTGGTTAACACAACACAACAATAAATACTAAAATGAAGTTGAAAGTAAACTGAGTCATTTAGAAATTTGAAGATATTAATACAACTACCTGAAAGGATATTTAGCAAAATTTGTTGGTTTAAGGAGGGTGTTTATAATTTAATCTTCTCAAGTACCTACACCATTAACCGTAATTTATTACAGGGAAAAGTTATCCTTCAAAATTTTAGGAAAGGCATTTCACAGATTTTTATACTCTATTATGACGACATTCAATATTATATTATAATTTGTTATACATTTTAATTTCAAGGATAGGATTTCACAAAATAAGATTACTACTATCTACCATATAGAAACAAAATATTCATCAAATAATGCAGTATACTTTATTATGTACACATTTTATATTATTAATAATTATTTTTTTTAAGAATAACTGTCAAATGGAGGTTCCATGTATTCTTCTAAAATTGCTTTGATCTGTTGAAATTGTCTTGGATGTTCACGCATTTCAGATGAAGCACTGATGTTCAAATATCTGAGAGTAGTAGGTTCGCTCATAAGCCAGGTAATGTTTCCGAGCAGAGGATCTGGTTCAGGAGTTGGGTTCCTATAAAATAAAAAAACATTTAAATATGAGTATTACAATAGCGAAAAATATGTTTCTTTATAGTATCAAGTAGTTTTTGCAGTTAGTGTTATTATATCATACGGAAATCATAGTAATTTATTGTCTGAAGATTGCTGCAATTACAGAAAAAAAAAAACAACATTTTCAGATGCACACATACAAGTCAGTTGCATACGAGTGAGTGGGGGGCTTGCTGAGACATTTCAGAGGAGATCAAATGGATCCCTAAAGGGGTAAGAAAAATTCCTCTTTTATAGCGCTTTACCCTTATTTAAAAAAATATAAGAAAATAAACTATAATGAATATTTCATAAAAACAAAGTCATAAATGATTCGAAATTATAAAAACATAAAGAAAAATTGGAAAAATCTTTAATAAACCAAAACCTGTGAAGGTTAAAATGAATAGGTACCTACATTATTCTTTTCTCACACATATGAGACAAACTTGTATTGAACATGACAGGCAAATAGGATTTATACATTTGTAACAAAGATATGCAGTTATAGCACTTCTTGACGAAACAAATACGAATTTAAAGTACAAATGAAAACAAAAATGTAATATCAATGAAAATAAAGATAGCAAAAGGTAATTGAATTTTTGTAAAAGTTGCTTATTAAGAAAAATTACATTTTTATTATTATTAGTTTTATATTTATCCATTTTAATACCCTTATTGCAATGAGCAGCAACATGTTTTTCAGAAAGTATAATTAGGGAAGACGATCAGGTGTTTTATTTTTATTTTATTTATTTTATTTTATAATTTTATTTTAATAATAAAAACAGTTGGATACTTACAAATATTTAACAAAATTAGTCCACATTTTTACATATCTATGTAACATTAACCCATCTTCTTCTGGATACTGACTTAGGTCACTGTTAGTAGTGTCGTCCCACATATAATGTAAATCTTCGGCATGTCCTACTTTTCCAGTATCTATAAAAAATGGTAAAAATGTATCTAAACATAAAGATAGTTGGCGTCAATTTGAACACCATATAGAGGATGGGCAGGTTTTAGTTTGTTTATACAGAGATGTAAACTCCTAGATATACAATGTCGGTTAATTGGGGAACAATTTGATATTTTAATTGGTCCTCAGAATTTCTAGATTTTCTAGCTACTTTTGGCTAATCGTGTCGGTAATATCAAAATTATATAACTTAAGCTTCTTCTTCAAAGTATATTATCTTTGGCATACTTTGAAGGACTAAGACTTTAGTGTACTAGATAAATAACAATTTTTCTACTTTTGACTTAATATATTTTGTAAATGCAGCAAGATCAAAATGATCTACTCACTTTTTGTATCTACAAAAGGTTTTACTTTTTGTGTCGGTAACTTTTGTAGACTCTATATTTGATTTAGACTTTCCTTACATGGTTCTATATTCTTGTCGAGTGTTAAATTCTTTTGGAAAACCGCTTTATATAAAATAACTATCCCTTTCATTCTGATTTGATAAATAGATAATAATCTTACCTGCCGGAATTTTATCTATATAATCCATTTGTTGTCCTAGTTCTCCTTTATATGCAAACTGATAAAAGTAATATGGAGCATCTGTACAACTTAATTCTACTTGCTTGGCCGTACCTGTTGTAAAGCTAGTGTCACTATTATGCTGAAAACCATAAAGAATAAGTAACAAATTGTTTCATAAAACTTCTGAAAGCTTTACAGCTATAAATAAAACTCTTTTTCATTGAAATAATACCTCTCTCCCAAGGAAATTACAAACTAAAAACCCAATTATTATAAAATAACCGTAAAATATGTGAATTCTTAATAAAAAAAATTTACCCTTATGTATGCACCAATATCATTTTCAAATGAGCCATTACCAACATATACTTGCTTGTATAATATTCCAACAGTTTGTCTGTTTTCGGAGGCGATATTAACTCCTGTAGATATCAGTAGAGTTGGATTCATGTCAATTTCTTTCAACTGGGTTTTATTTATAAAAGGGGCTAAAATATTATCGGTAAACTTAGAAAGTAAAATAAAATTTACTGCATTTTTAATATTTTATAATTAATATATAAACTTATATTGCAGTAATAATAATTATTATTAAAATTATTATTGTTATAAGTAATAATAAATTTCTGTAACTTTTACTTGTATCTACTCACAAGCTAAAACTGTTTCTTCGGAGTTAAATCCAATAATAACTGGAATTTGTTTGTATTTCTTATCTATAAAACCTTGAAAACCAAAAGAAGAAAATATACCTTCTTTTTCTATGGCAACTTCGCCAAACACGCCTGACTAAAACACAAAATAAAAATTAAATATCAATTAATAGCTATTTATACAACCAATTACAAAATGCTTTAACGGCATTCATTTTGTAACGTGTTACAACATACAATATTTTTTCTAATTTTGACCAGGTTATTTATGAAAATGCGTTTTCGTAAAACATCGACAAATAGAAAATATATTAATTATTTATTCTCAACGATTTGTAGTTAAAAAAGAACAAAACCTAAATTTCCTCAATAGTCAAGAAGCTAGATTTATCATTGGAGGCGACTTAAATGCAAAACACCATTGGGGCTCCAGACTAACAACAACTAAGGGTAAAAACCTAGAAGAAGTAATGAAACAGTTAAAATGTGAATTGCAAACCAACTTATTGGCCCACAGATAGAAACAAAATACCCAACCTAATAGACGAAATATTTCAGCAAACTACATCCAAGTTGAAGAACCATGGGACATGAATACAGATCATTCGTCCATTCTTCTTACTCTTAGTGCCACAATTATCCATAAAAAAAGCGCTTCTAGATTAATAAATAGGAGAACAGACTGGCAAAGCTTCAGACTGGAGCTTGAAAATAAAATAAATCTTTCAGTTCCGTTAAGAACAAAAGCACAGCTAGATGACAAAGTAAAACTACTTGTGTCCAATAAGCAATATGGGATAATACGCCACCTATTGTGCAGCGAACAATAGGAAATAACTATCCTAAAGAAATAAGATACCTAATCTGGAGTGAGGGTAGCCATATGTGAGTAGTAGGGATTAAGTGTAAAGGTTAAAGAAAAGGTCCTTTATTTCTCACAAGTCAATTTATTGGCGACCGGTTTCGAAGTTGTCACTTCATCATCAGGCACACCTAAATGGAATGTCAAGGAGTCAGTTGTAATAAAAACAATTATAAAAGCATGAACGGACTTTAACATATACAAAATAACAGAAAAAACACAAAAGAAAGTTAAACAATAACCTTGACTCACCTTGACTAATTCCATAAAGGAAGCGCTACAAAAAGTTTAACAGAACGAGTTAAAAAAGTCATGTGTAATAAGTATTTTTTAAAAAATTTTTAATGTAGGTTAGGTTAAACCACCAGATGTCTTTTTGAATAAAATAATTAAAACACATTTAAGACAATTATTAACTAAACAACACAAAATAGTTTTACAAGCACAAACAGTTTAAAATTTTTTTATAAGGAAATAATGTTAATTACTGAAAGTAAAAAGTAAAAAAGTAAAAATTATCAGACTGTCAAGACATCTATCTAGATTTTTAACGAATCAATGCAGTAAACTGTAAATTTTAAATTAGCGGATAAATAGTGTACTAACGGAGGTGTTATTTACTGAAAGTGAGTATAGGTGGCGATGACAAAATTTATTGAAAGTAAAATATATTAAACTGAGAATGAGAAAGCAAAAAAATTTTTTTTTATACTAACAAGAAAATTAGAACACTAAACAAGAAAATGTGAAAATTCATATGTAAAAAGGGAAATTTGAAGCAGATAATCAAAAAGAAAATTACTGTTACAGGAAACGGAAAATAGGTTGACAGTACGAATGTCAAAAAAGAAAAGTCAAATTTTGGCGTATGACAACCACGTGGGAGAATTTGAATAAGCTAAAAAATTTTTAATAAGATGCGAATGGGCAAAAATTAATGGAAAGAAAATCTAAATTGGGAGAGTTAATTGTGGTAAGTAACTGACTGAAGATCAAATGAGTGGGGGTAAAAGTCTGAAAATAATTTAAATAAGCGCAGAGGTACTAATAAATTGAATTTGTGCATTCAGAGAGCAGGAGGGGCCAGATTTAATATTTTTTAAAATTTCCAGGTTCTCAAAGTTATTCAGAAGGAATTTATTAGAAGTCATATGCAAAATGTCGAAGCCAATGCTAGAATCAAAATCGTGACCAGTGTAGGGATTAACCTTAGTACCCTTCTTATTAGCCTTTCTTGGAGGATATACCTTAGTTCTTAGTGATAGATAGTTAGAGTTTAGTGTTGTCAAGTAGACAGTTTTTTTGGAATTTATATATACGTTCAATGTCAATTGGAAATAAAAAGAATTAAAAATCTTATAGGTTCTTTAATTTACAAATAAGCAATCTATAATTGGTCCTTCGAGTTATGGAATCAGAAAAAGAAGCTATAGTTAGAAAGAGCACTAGGTGTAATTTTGGAGTACCTCCTAGAAGGTATATACCTGGTGAGACAGAAAATCTCACAGGTTTGGAAACCAGTGCAGTCATCTCAGGAAATGGTACAGCTACGCAACAGAGGGACAATGGACTAGCTACGACTTTGGTTTATAATAAAAGTTTTTCAGTCGTACATTCAGCAACTCCTGATGTTGTCGAAAGTATCCATTTAGAAACCAGAGAATTGGAGCAGAAAGAAATTAAGAAACTACAGTTATCGGCTAAAGGAAAAAAATTAGAAGCTGAACTGAAAATATTAAATATGGTAATTAAAAAGTACGAGTTACAAGAAAAACCCTTGGAAGAAATATTAATTAAAAAAGATGAATATGAATATAAGATTATAGAACAGCTACAGTTGGAAGCTGAAATGGCAGAACTTGAAGCAGAAGTTAGACTAAGCAAATTACAGCTTCAGGATCTTAAATATAAAGAAAAGTCAATGAAAAGTAGGAAAACTGATGAGAGTAAAAAATCTGAAAGAATTGATGAGAGTACTGCTACAGATAAGAATTCATTTGTAAATAAATGGGTAATGGAAGTAAATAAAAATGCAATCAAATATCCAGAAGATTTTATGGAAAATAAATCTTATGATGAATATTCTCAAAAGTATCAAAAAAGTTTGAAATATACTGTACAAAGCGAAACTGATTCTAACTTCACTAGCAACCATTCCAAGCAAGAAATAGGGAAAAGTACAAAAGCTGCGGAAACCGAGCTAAAAGGTGAAAAAGAAAATACTTTGTCAGAAACTTTAGTAAAGTGCATGAAAAATTTAACAGTTAATTTAGAAAAACTTGCAAATAAACAGTCTACAAGAGATTTACCTGAATTTTATGGCAACATAAATGAATTCCCCTTCTGGATTAATGAGTTTAAAAGAACCACAAATGAGAAGCACATATCCAACTCTGATAACTTAGGGCGTCTTAATAAATGTTTGAAAGGCAGGGCTTATCATTTAGTCAAAGATCTGTTCCGCAGTCCAGATAATATAGATCTTATCATAGATACATTAAAATTAAACTTCGGCAGAGACGAATGGATAATAATAAATCAAATTGAAAAAGCAAAAAAATGTCCAGCCCCCAGAGAAGATTCTATTGACACATTCATGCAATTTTCTTTGACGGTGTCAAACATGATTAACGCCATTCAAAATGTAGGCTGTTCCAAGCAATTAGATAATCCAGAATTGCTATTTAGATTAGAAGAGAAACTTCCTAGAAGCTCAAAACGTTCTTGGGGAGAAGTTAAGAGAACTAAACAAATTCAAAAAGAAGACGTGTATTTGCAAGATTTTTCTGAGTGGTTGAAGAGAGAAGTGGAATTGTTGATGTCTATTAGCTTACCTACTACATCTACTTACAGAAGAGTATCTCCCATGTCAGCAGATTCAAAACAAGTCTACAACATCCAGCCTGCTAAAATAGTAGAATGTCCAGTATGTAAAAACGAAGCCCATAAAATATATCTGTGCAAGAAATTTTTAATGATGAATGTAGATGATCGAAAGAAATGTGCGGATGAATTCAGAATATGCTACAGATGTTTAAATATAGGACACGTAGCAAAAAGGTGCTACAGTAAAATAGTATGTAATATTAGAAATTGTAAAAGAATACATCATCGTCTTCTTCACAATGGGAAAAGTAAAGTTAAACTTGATGAACAGGCGTCAGATGAAGAAAACTATGAAAAAACAGATGAACAACGGCACTTGGCTGCAAATATATTAGAAACTACAGAAACAACATGCGTATTAAAAAGAAACACTATCAAGCCCCAAACAGTAATTCTAAAGATAGTTAAAGTCACCCTCCAAAATAATAACAAATGCATTGATACATATGCCTTATTGGATGAAGGTTCTACGGTAACTCTAATAGACTCAGACCTTGCTGAAATCCTTAATTTGCAAGGACCTACCTCTGTCATTTGTTTGCAATGGGCTACTCAAATTAATTATAATGATGACTCTTCTAAGATAGTAAATTTTGATATATGTTCTCATCAAGATCCATCTAAGTCCTATAGGATCAAAAATGCTCGAACAATAAGCAAATTAGATTTACCTGAACAGTCACTTGATGTAGAATTTTTGTGCATGAAGTATCCCTACATAGATCCTGAAATATTAGAAGCAGTTAAACATGCAAAACCGAGGGTTCTGATAGGTCAGGACAATGTTTCTCTTTTAATACCTAAAGAAATTATTCAGCCAAACTATAACGAAGTAGTATTAAGTAAAACCCTTCTGGGATGGGTTATTCATGGCCCTTATTCACAACAAGATCATCGTTTAGGATTAGTTAATCTATGTAGACATGATGAAGATTACTTAAATAAAATTATTGAAGATCATTTTGAAATAGAGAATTGCTATGAAAATTCTAAAAAATTATCTAAAAATGATGAAAAAGCATTGGAAATTTATAATAAAACTATTAGAAAATTGGATGATCGATTTGAAATAGGATTCCCTTGGAAAGAAAATAATATAGTATTACCTGAAACCTACAATATGGCTTACACCAGATTAAAATGTATGGAACGTAAAATGGATAAAGATAGAGATTTCGCAGAAAAATATTGTCAGAAAATAGAAGAATATATTAAAAAAGGTTACGCAAAGAAGCTGTCTTCCATCAATCTAGAAGAGGATACCAAGACATGGTATCTTCCACATTTTGGAGTAATCAATCCCAAGAAACCAAAATTAAGATTTGTTTTTGATGCTGCAGCTACAGTATCTGGAACAAGTTTAAACGATTTTCTATTAACTGGCCCGG